CCCTCGACAGACTGACACTATCCCAGGTACCCATCTCCTGGAATCGACAAACACGATACCTGGGCGTGACGATGGACCAGCGTCTCACGTGGAAACCGCATATCGTGGAGATGGTGGCGCGAGCGCGCGCCATTATTCCATGGCTAGAAATTGGCCTCAATAATTTGGGATCGAGGGGGATTATCCCTCATTATCCTGCCTCATCTCGTGTAGGCCTGGACAGCCTTCGTAGGTGAGCCCCATCCGTCGTCTACCCCGACCGCAAATGCGGACGGTATAGGCGCTTTGTGGGACCTCCTTTTGTCCTTGCTGGGCCCCGCCGGCTAGGGCCCTTTCTTCTGGCGCTCTTCTTGCTTCGCCGGCTCGTCTGTGTAAACCCCGGGGGTAGTGTCATGTTTATGTGTGGTATGGTTGGGTAGGGTAGTGCGGCTATGCAGCCTGGGATGCGCTTTGCTAAGGTGGCCCTTAGGCTAGCGCGGGAGGGGAGGGGTAAGGAGGGGATGGTGGCGCGAGCGAAGACCACCAGGGCTAGGTCTATCCCTTTGAAGATAACTCAAAAGAGGTAAGAGCTAGAAAAAAAGTTTATTATAAGAGTTGTAGAGCATAAAATTCTACATAAAAATGGTTTACTGCCTTTTTTATACTATGTATTAAAATTGAGAATTAGGGAGACTACTCGTAGATGTTGAGATGATTTCAGAAATTTAAAAATCATAAACAGAAAAATTAATGAATTTTATAATTTATTTTGTCAATCCACTTTAAAAAATGTAAATGTTTTCAAAGAAATAGATATATTTTTTAATTTTTAATAAAAAAGTTATAACAATTTCACAAAGCGAACGTGATTTTTTTATCTTTGTCATAAAACAAAATTTCGAAATCAACTTTTCATTTTAAATAATCAATCGAGATCATAGAAAAAAAATTGTTTTAGTGTTAAATCATAAAAATTAACGTTTAAAAAATTGAAATTGTTATAACTTTTTTATTAAAAATTAAAAAATATATCTATTTCTCTGAAAAGAAAGTTTACATTTTTAGAGAAGATTGAAAAAATTATAAAATTCATTTGTTTTTCTGCTTACGATTTTTTTAAATTTCTGAAATCATCCCTTAACTTCTAGCCACCCTAATTCTGTTAATTTTAATAGTACAAGAAAAAGTCAATAGACCCAAGGATTTTACACAAGAGGATTGCTCGATCCCATTTAAGCCTATGTTCGCCAAATAAAATGTCAAACGCTGGAATAGTATCATTTATCTAGGCGCTGGAATACGTGACGTCACTACGTTACCTCCGTGCTATGTTTACAATATGTAAAACGGCTCATTTTCCTTACTTTCCGTGTGTTTTTTGTGGATTATTGTTCGTTTAGAGGATTTATGCTCACTGTTATTATTAATTGATGTTATATACGTAGTTTGTTGTTGTAATTTCTTGTTAACTTATTAATATCGTTTGTTATCATTATGTTACTATTTGTGTTTGTGTTAGTTTAGTGTTCAGAGACTTTAGAGCCTGTAATAGAATTTCAATTTTGCTCAAAAGGTAATAAATTTAATATATTTTTTTAGGCATGTATATAAATACTTAAATTTCTTTGTTTTTAGGTTAATCTTTAATAAAAAAAAGATGCCTGGTCTTCGATGTGCAGTTTATGGCTGCAATAACAGTTTTGTTGGGGTAAAAGCCAAAGGGGAAGATATCAAATTTTTCCCATTTTCAAAATCTAATAATTTAGTTTCACAAACAGTTTACAAGGAGTGAATAAATCGTTGCAAGAGGCAGGACAGTTTTAATCCGAATCATAGCCGAATATGTTCTATTCATTTTACCAGTAATGATTTTGAGAGAGACCTGAAGAATGAACTTTTAGGTTAGTACATATAACAAGTATTATAATATTGGGTTTCTTTTAATTTAATGAAAATTACTTAAGTAATGTGTTTTTAGGATTACCTACAAAAAAAATGTTAAAGAAAATGGCTGTTCCCAGGATGCATTTGCCACTTCAGAGTAAAAAAAAGCAGTTGTGCAAGAAATTTTAAAACAGAGCAACTTAGAAAATATACCTGAAACTGCAGTTCTATATAGTTTAGGTCAGCGGTCGGCAACTGGCGGACCATGGTCCAGATCCGGACCGCGGAAGATAAAAAACTGGACTGCCAAAAAATTTTTTAAAGTATAATTAGATATCCAAATTATTTAAAAACATATTTTTCTATAGATAAGAATACGTTTGAGGGCCACCTTTATCATTTTTTAATGATTAGTATAAAAAACTGACTCGAGACTGCAAATGTAATTTCTGCCATTGATTTTTGAATACAAAAGCGCCTATCTATTGTATTTCATATTATTTTGTGAATGCAAATTAAAATAAAAAATTAGTAAGGTATACGAGTTTTTTTTCTGGACCTTGTTAAAAATTTTCAAAAGTATGTGGACTGTTGTGCTTAAAATTACTTGCCGACCCTTGGTTTAGGTGCTTAATTCAACTGTAATAACTTAGAAGTGCATAGTGCTATTTTAACAGAACTTCAAAATTTACTACCCTAAAATATATAAATCAAACAATAAACAAATGTTTAATCAAGAAGCAAATCTTAGCCTCACGCAGCGCTCCCATAGGTATAAGCCATGCTAACTGTAGGACCTGCTCGTGAAAGAATATGCTATTTTACCGAGTGCGATTTTATCCATTCCAATAATTAAAATTTTTCCTTTCAATTTTGAATATTTATCCTTACGTAATAACTTTATTGTTCATAGGTTGTACGAGCAGTGATATTCAAATGGTAGGTGTGTTTTTGTAATTCAAACAAAAGTAGTGAAACGACAATCTTGTATATTATATTTTTGGTAACTTTTTTAACTCCATTCCCTATTCTTTATTATATCTAAAAAATAGTATATTTCTAAGTAAACGGCTACTATATTTCTCTAATCGCTGTGCAAATTAAACCACCTAAATATTCTAATATTGTAGGAACGTATCACTATTTTTAATGTCTGTTTAATTATTTGTCAATATTACTAAACTTAATATGTTTTTAAGGAATAAGTTAATTTTTCTTTTCAGTGTTAAAGTTCCCACTAAATTCGAGGTAACATAATGACGTCACACAACATAACCTAGTTTCGCGGAAATAAGTTTGTTATTAAGCAATCCTCTTGTATAAAATCCTTGAATAGACCTACAACTTTTATAATGTGATATAACCTGATTCAAATATTTAAAAAATCTCACGCAATTTACTTATTCGAAGAAGAAGAAGAATAGATCTGGAGTAAAGTGTTCAGTGTTCTTAGGCTTATGGTTAAGTTAGGAAAAAGGACGTTATGTTATGTACGAAAAAGAAGTGTTAAGATTTGTCTTATGGAAAAATAAAGTTTTAGATGAAAATATAGTGTGCCTTCTTGAAACACCCACCCAAATGTAGCTCCCTACAATGAAAAATTTTTTTTTTAGCTCGTACCCTTTCGTTTTTCACCTCTGGTTCCTGGCCGCTGGTTAAAAAATAATTACTGTCTTATTGTTGTTATATACCTCAAGGTGATTTAAAGGCCCATTTAAATGGACCACTATCAGATTCAGCAGTTTTGCTTTTTAAAGGCCAACTTATCGACTTAAACTCAAACCAAAAATTTTTGCTATATCTACTCCATAATTCAAGAAAACTCAAGTTAATCATAGATGTGGTTTAGGTGCTAAAAAAACGTTAAAAATAATTATGGTAGTAAATGCAAAGTGCCAGTTTTGTAGTCCTTATATCTACACGTTACATAGTTACGAATAAAAGAAAGCTTTAGTACATGTTGACAAAAATGAGAACCGTATCGTCCTTTTCATACTGGTGATCAATGATGTTTATATCGACTATACCTTATAAATGTTTTAATGTTTAAACAATGCTTTGTTATGTGAAGAATAAAGAAAAAATAGTTTTAAGTGAGGTAAAAATCAGGAACATGAGTTTTTTCGAGAAAGGATCAATATGATGGATTTTGAACCTTATGTAAGCATTATAGCGGAATGCATATACGTCGGACTGTCGGAAACTGTTTTGGATTGCTCTAGGAACAAAGCGTGCAATTTATAGTTAAAATAGTGTATTTCATTCTCTTAATTAATCGTAAAAACACTAGTAAATGATGATAAACTGTATTTTATTAGAAAATCCTGAGCTAAGCTCATTATAAAGTCTATATAGGAAAATGTGCTTTTATAAACTTTTAAGTACATAGTTAACTAAATAGTTTTGCAACACTGTTTTACATGTTGAAAAAAAAAAAAAAATTGGTAACTTCTGTTTCAAATTAAAGTTGGTTGATAAGTAAATAATATCCCTGTTTAAAAATATATGTATGTTTGTCAATCAGCAGATTGTCACATTATGAGGAACAGGAAACGTGTGGACATTTCAATTCATGACTAGGTAGGTATTAGCGAATTTTGCAAATGTTAGTCCAAAATCACTTGTTGGCTTGTGTTTCAGTAGTTTTTCGTGTTTCAACCGAATATTTCAAGGCAGGGTTACGTTTCGTAATCACATACTTGTATCCATTTTCGACCAATGTCGTGCACGATGAACGAAGAGTGACAATTCATACCTGCCTTTCTGTTGTGCGTCAATTATGTAACGTCTGATACTGTTCCTGTATTTATATTCATAATCGCAGTCTTTGAACCTGGGAAGGATCTTTATGAATCAGTTGGTGTCGTTTGACATTCCCCATGTATTTAGTTTCGAAACTGCAGTCGTTACACCTGAACATTTGAACCTGCGAAGGACTTTTATGTTTCAGTTGGTGTCGTTTCATATAATGTGCGTATTCAGTTTTGTAATCGCAGTCGTTGCACCTGTACATCTGAACTTGTGAAGGATCTTTATGTTTCATCAGGTGCCGTTTGATATCCCTCTTATGTATAGTTTCATAATCGCAGTCGTTGCACCTGTAATTTTGAACTTGCGAAGGATCTTTATGTGTCACTTGGTGCTCTTTAATGTAACTCTTGTATTTAGTTTTGTAATTGCAGTCCTTACACCTGTAGGTTTGAACCTGAGAAGGATCTTCATGTTTCGGTTGGTGAAGTTTGATACATCTCTTGTATTTAGTTTGAAAATCGCAATATTTACACTTGTACATTTGAACCTGCGAAGGATCTTTATGCTTCAGTTGGTGCTGTGTGATATTATTCTTGTATTTAGTTTTATGATTGCAGTCGTTGCATCCGTAGGTAGGAACCTGAGAAGGATTTTTATGTGTCAGTTGGTGTCGTTTGACATTCCTCTGGTATTTAGTTTCGAAGCTGCATTCGTTACACCTGTACATTTGAACCCGTGAAGGACCTTTATGTTTCAGTTGGTGCATTTTGATATATTTCTTGTATATAGTTTTGTAATTGCAGTCGTTACACCTGTACATTTGAACCTGAGAAGGATCTTTATGTTTCAGCAGGTGCCGTTTGAGATCCTTCTTATATCTAGTTTCATAATCGCAGTCATTACACCTGTAATTTTGAACTTCTGAAGGATCTTTATGTGTCAGTTGGTGCTCTTTAATGTAATTCTTGTATTTAGTCTTGTAATTGCAGTCTTTACACGTGTACATTTGAACCTGTGAAGGATCTTTATGCGTCAATTGGTGCATTTTCACAGCTCTCTTATATTTGGTTTCATAATGGCAGTCTTTACACCTGTACATTTTGACCTCCGAAGGATCTTTATGTACCAACTGATGTTGGATTAAAAGTTTCTTATTCACTGATTTGTAGTTGCATTCATCACATTTATAAATCGGCAGTTGTGAAACGTCTTTATGTGTCAATGAGTTGTTTTTGGTTTTACGGTCATACTCATTAGATTTGTTTGAGTCTTTGTGTTTTATATAATGACTGCTAAGCAATTTCATATTTCTAGTTTCATACTCACAGAATTCACATTTATACGATTTCGAATCATTCTTGTGCTTCGCACGGTGTGCTGTTAACTGGATCTTACTTTTAGTTTTGTAGATACATTTATCACATTTGTGCAATACTTTGCGTTTCTGTTTGGTTTTCATATTACGTTTTTTCGGTGGTTCATTCTCATCGTGACATGCATCCTCTTCTACATCTCTCTGCAGTAGTGTGTCGCTGAAAAAATTATATATATACAATATTTTGTTAACAATTTTTGTGTTCATTGTTTAACAATATACTTATTTTGATGTTCTAATTTTTTGTTTCGAGACAATTACAAGTTGCATAACAATAGTCACTTGTGTGTATAGCAGATATTTAAAGTAAAAACAAATGTAACTTAACCTAGGAAGCAAAAAACTTACTCAAGGAATAAGAACATTTAATCACTAAATATAATTCTATATATAATTCAATTGGTAATTTATTAAAAAGTTTAGGCCCCAAATAGTTTGGTGACATATTGGTAATTGACAATTTAGAAAAAGGTACCCGAATATTATTTTTATGTCCCTCCTTAAATAAAATTTTTGCCTATTTTTAAAAACAAATTAAATAAAAATAATGAACTTTAAGTTAAAATTTTGTACTGTTTGTGAAATAAAAATAGAATGAGAGAGGGTGGAATCGCCCCAGAAATAGACATCATAACGAAGATGTGATTCTACTTGAGCGTAATATAAATTTATTAATTGATTTTTCACTAAAATTGTTTTCATGTTTTTAAATAAAAAAATTATTGAACTCAAGGTGGAAACGAGATGATTGCAATGCACTTTCCAATTAAGGGTTTGGTCGAAATAAATTCCCAGAAATTTAACACTACCTAAAGCGTCGTTCTCAATGATACAGTTATTAATTTTTATTGTTAGGTCGTCACATTTTCTCTGTCTGTTATGAAATCATATCATTTGCGTTTTATTTACATTTAAACATAAATAGTTCTGATTAAACCATACACATATATTTTCAGTCGTTTTATTAATATCGATGTAAAGATTTTTATCCGAGTTACTTGAAATAATCAAAGATAAATTGTCGGCATATACAGGGTGTATCTAAATAACACCGAAAAAATTCAAGGGGCGATTCTCCGATGAAAATTAATAGGGGTCTTTGGTATAAAATTTTTTGAAAAAACCCTCCCCTGAAAAGTTACGCCCCTCCTAAAATTACAAAAAAAAATTGTTTTTCTTTTTTATCTTCCACGTACATCAAGCTAAAGAAACCAAACTTGGTGAACATTATCTGTCAATAAAACTACACTTTTTGAATTTTTTTCAACCCTGAACTATTTTTGTAAGGGGTTGAAATAATCAACCCCTATGACATTTTTTCTTATAATTTTTTTTTCGATAAAATTTTTTCCTTTTAAAAAATATGTCTAAAAAACCCCATTCATTTACTAACTTTTTGATCTCTTCAAGTTTCTTCGAAAAGTTAAGGATTTATGACAAAAAAAAATAAATGTATTGTAATGTATTTTTAAAAAGATGAGCTGTTTAACGCGAGTGTATTTTGCCGAAAGATCTAGTGGCCTGTTCTTTACAATGGAATCCGTAGAAACAAATGTCAATGTCATTTATTGTCATATTAAATAACATTTTATTAAAAAACACTCAACCAAATAGTTGACCTATGATTCTACTAGGCTAAGAAGTTTGGAACTTAGACTAAAAGTGAACAAATGATGAATAATGTTATAACAGTAACAAAAAATAAAAATCTGTCGGATATTGACAATACAATCTACAAAAAATGTTGAAAATGATTGCCTTCAGCTTCAATACAAGCATCTACTCTTGTTCTCATAGAATTGCGTATGCGTTCAAATATTCCTGGTGAATTTTTTATCGTTTCACACCCTGCTACAATGCGGTTTCGCAAATCATTGATATCTTCAACTGGCCTTGAGTAGATCAAAGATTTCAGATATCCCCATATGCAAAAATCCAAAGGATTAAGGTCAGGGGAGCGGGCTGGCCAATTTACATATCCTCCTCGACCTATCCATCGATTGGCATACACCTCATCCAAGTGACGTCTTGCACGTATACTAAAGTGGGCTGGTGCACCGTCGTGCATAAACCATAAACGTTGCCTAATTTGAATGGGAACTTCTTCAAGAATAATAGGTAATTCTTCGAGAAGATGACAATATGAGTCACCATCTAATCGTCGTGGAAGAAAATAGGGACCAATTAAATGATCGTCGATAATTCCGAGCCACACATTTAATGAAAATTGATACTGATGATTTCCTTCAAAAAAGTCATGAGGATTTTCCTCAGCCCAAATATGATTGTTACGAAAATTTCTAATACAGTCTCTTGAGAAATTCGCCTCGTCAGTAAATAAAATATTTCTTAAGAACTGCGGCGCTTGGCCGATCATATTAATAAGCCATTGACAAAAAACCACACGTGGTAAAAAATCTCGAATCAGTAACGACTGCACCCGTTGGAGATGATAGGGATATAACTGTTGTTCTTTTAAAATTCTAAAAACTACCGAATGGCTTACATTTAGGACACGAGCTATTTTCCTGGTACTAGTTTCTGGGGATTCCTCAATTAAATTAAGTACGGCTTCATCGACAGCTTCAGTTCTAACTTCTCGGCTACGGCCACAGTCATGACTTCTCTTTTCAAATTTTCCAAGTTCCCGCAAGCGTTGGTGAATATTTGTGAACGTAGTATGGTGGGGTAATCTACGCTCTGGGTACTGTTCAGCATAAAGTCTTTGCGCTTCCAATGCATTACCGTTAGCATACCCATATGTAAAATGCATATCTGCCATTTCTAAATTCGAATAGTTAACCATATTTTCGGTTTATTAACTAATATTTTCTACACAAAATCATGAAACTTGTGAAATAGTAAGAAACAGTAACAATAAATGACATTGACATTTGTTTCTACGGATTCCATTGTAAAGAACAGGCCACTAGATCTTTCGGCAAAATACACTCGCGTTAAACAGCTCATCTTTTTAAAAATACATTACAATACATTTATTTTTTTTTGTCATAAATCCTTAACTTTTCGAAGAAACTTGAAGAGATCAAAAAGTTAGTAAATGAATGGGGTTTTTTAGACATATTTTTTAAAAGGAAAAAATTTTATCGAAAAAAAAATTATAAGAAAAAATGTCATAGGGGTTGATTATTTCAACCCCTTACAAAAATAGTTCAGGGTTGAAAAAAATTCAAAAAGTGTAGTTTTATTGACAGATAATGTTCACCAAGTTTGGTTTCTTTAGCTTGATGTACATGGAAGATAAAAAAGAAAAACAATTTTTTTTTGTAATTTTAGGAGGGGCGTAACTTTTCAGGGAAGGGTTTTTTCAAAAAATTTTATACCAAAGACCCCTATTAATTTTCATCGGAGAATCGCCCCTTGAATTTTTTCGGTGTTATTTAGATACACCCTGTATAGTAAAAGCTTTGTTACCTATTACATTTTCTATTGAATTGACATATACAATAAAAAGCATAGGACCTAGAACAGAACCCTGCGGTCCTAAATTATTTTCATTATAATTTCGTCTCATATAGGTTTTATTACAAGTTGGAGCAGCAATCTAATTAAAAAAATATCGTTCTGTGATCAGAGAAATTGTTATCAAGAACACACGTTCCTTCGTCACGAAAGTGGTGTCTGTCACTCGAGTTGGCCACCCCACAACATCCTTCAAGTTAAAACGAGAGAATTGTACATAATTTTCTAAAATCAACATCACTAAAAGCATCAAAGTTAAAATCACCACAAGCTATAAAATTTATGTTCGGCTCAAACAAAATATTTAAAACATCGTTAATTTTATTCAAAAACATAGCCACGTCACCAGAAGGTGCTCTATAGCAGTTAATAATAATGATGTTAGCATTACATTGCTTCAATGAAACAACACAGTACTCAAAATGTTGTTCAATGCAAGAAATATTTACATTAATTTTCCTACCGTCTATATTTTTTTTACACCATATTTTTTTAAAGGTTTTTACGTTAATTTTGCGTTTCAATGAAACAGGGTAGGCCTTGACTAAGCTACAGTGGAGTCGGAGTGGATTCAGATCTTATAGAATTTCTTTTATTTGTTTATTTTCTTTAAGCTGTAACATTTTTTTGCAATCCATATATGGAATAATTGTAGTATCGCTTTTCACAAGTTGACTTAAATTCTAATGCTGCATTTAATTTTCTCTTGCAAGCGTTACATATAACTTCTTTGCTCTTATTATTAAATCTCTGAAATATATGCAACTTTAATCAAATAGAAAGAACATAACTGAGAGAAAGTAACAATTAAATAAAAAAAAAGGTACCTAATTATTTACTATAGCGTAACCCGCCCAAATTGTCACAAAAATATCATACCCCCATATTTTCGAGAAAAAAATTGTTAAAAATTTGATCCCTAGACATTTCATACAACACTGCGGACAACTCTGCATATTTTATGTAGCTTTCGGAACATCTGTATTGAACCATAAACATTGTTTAAGAAACACATTTTCACAAATATCAAGAAATAAAATTTTATTTAATAAAAATTATTTATTGTTTCATCTAAGTTCTTCCACTGTCTTAGAGTGTCTTCATCTCTGTTCATCATCATTAAGTAATGCAAGAAATAATTTTTATTTACATATTTTTTACTCGATATTTGCGGAAAATGTGTTTCTTAAACAATGTTTATCGTTCATTACAGATGTACTGAAAGCTACAGTATACAGTGCTGTGCATAATATTGTGAGAAATGAGCCGGTTAGAACTTTGTTTTTTTTTTCGAAATCTAGATTCGACCGCACAAAAATAATTTCAAATTCGTGTTCATTACTATCCAAAACAGGGGGTTGAAAAATTTTGTAACGATTTGGGCAGATTGCGAATAGTAAATCACTACTATTCGATATTTTATCGACTTACCAATTTCAGCAACAAAACATGTAGAATGTCTCAAATAGCGTTGTTTATTACTTCCAAACTTTTGTCAGTTACAGTTTTAAAGCAAAGCCTACACCACTCATCATTGCAACAAGTTTGTTTAAAATGTAAATAAATATAATAGGTTGTATCTTAAATTGCGTTGTTAGCAATTAATTAAATACACTTTGATCACTGTGCATATTATAAAGTAATCGGCAACCACGGAATATAAACGACACACAACCAAAATAGGCGAGCGGTGCACCCCTATTATGACTCATAAAAAAATTAGTGGACCGACCACGTGGTGGGGGAGGGGGAGGCGGGATGAAACCTTTTCTAATCGCTATATTACGTTGTTGCGAACAAAAAACCTTAATGACATTTTTCTGTATCGATGGTCAGTCATTTGTTATTAACAAAAAACTTGCAAAATTGCGAAAACTTGAAAAATCGACATAAAAATACATTGAACAAAAATAAGCACTTTTTTACACTTCGCGCCATTATTCTATGGCTAGAAATTGGCCTCAATGATTTGGGATCGAGGGGGATTATCCCTCTTTATCCTGCCTCATCTCGTGTAGGCCTGGACAGCCTTCGTAGGTGGGCCCCATCCGTCGTCTACCCCGACCGCAAATGCGGCCGGTGTAGGCGCTTTGTGGGACCTCCTTTTGTCCTGGCTGGGCCCCGCCGGCTAGGGCCCTTTCTTCTGGCGCTCTTCTTGCTTCGCCGGCTCGTCTGTGTAAACCCCGGGGGTAGTGTCATGTTTATG